GATTGTTCTTTCTTCTGTTGATATTGATAAAATTTAATTAATTTTTTGCAGCTTCAACATTTTTATATTGCATCGTCGTTTTGCCGTCGTATTTGCGACGGCAAAACCATTGGGTGAAATGAATAATTATTTTTGGGGTATTTAAAAGGCTTACTTCATTTACTTTTGCACTAATATTACTTCGATGCGCTTTTTCAATGCATCGTCTTCCACTTCTTACCTGTCAATTATCGACTGAAAAAGTGAATCCTGTCACTTTTCATGAAAATTATTCCTCACGAACTTTAATGAAGGCAATAATGAAATGCAAAGTATAGGACCTAGCCAACATCAAAACAACGGATCAATGATCCATTATTGATTGCTGTCAAATTTATGTTGATGGCACGTAGGCAAAAATGAACGAATCCGTGCGGTTATGCGTGCTTTTTCTGTTAGAATGGTTTTTTTAGCACTATATGAATATTTATCAGTTCAAATTTTATGAATTCACATCTTTTCCTTATCTTCATGACTTCGTGATAAACATTATCTGCTTATTTTAACTTTTTTTCTCTACGGTAGAACATAAAAGTGCCTTAAAGTTTCATTCATATTCTTAATGATACCGTTGAGGTATGTCAAAAGAACGTTTTCTTTATTCGTTTCATGTATTTTTAACTGATAGAGGATTGTATATAAATAAATATTTTTTGAGGTATGGCTTCACCGGGTGCAATATCACCACGTGCTCGTATTTCGAGGAAACTTTCTTATTCAAAAATCGCCAAGCAGTTAGCGGTAAGTACCAGTTCGTTTTCATTGTCCTCACAAAATTGAGCTGACCAATTACCGCACTGAGGCAAGGAATTAGTATTCTTCGACATATTGGTATGAAATCACATGTACAAGGGCAAGATATTTTCAAATCTGTTCAATGTAATCATTTCAGTTCTCTCTTCTCCACTCTACAGATCTGAATTCTTGTTAACGAATATTTCTATCAGTCATTTTTACAAAATAAAGACGACTTTATAGAACCTCGAATTATCATCCGATGTTGCCATCGATCATGGCGAAACAGCACGTCGTGAAGGACGTTTCGTTTTCGAGTGTTCATGGGAAGTTGCGAATAAAGGTTAAATGCGTGATTCAATCATATTCTAATTGCTATTATGGTTATTTCATCACTTTTTCATCTTATGTTCTAATTGTCGTTTTTACTGCGTTCAAGTTCACGTTTTTGTTTGAGACATTGCGGAATGGAATCGATTGAAAAAGTAGATAAGGAACGAGAAGGGAAAAAGGTTTCCGTCTTCCACGAATGATAATTTTTCAAGATCACCGTTATTTGTTTATTTTAATGTTTGAAAACGTTTTCTTTCCTAATTTAGTTGGTGGTATTTATACTGTATTACGAACGAAAGCCGCAGTTAGTACCGAAGAACTCGGTGATCAATATTGTATGCTTGGACCGTATAACGCAGAAAGAGTCAAACTTGAGGTAATAAAAAATCGTTTTTGTTTTTTACTGCCATCTACGGTTTGCAACATTCTCATTTTGCAGCCGACAGATTGCACTCATCAATTTAATGATGGTTTTCAGCGTAGTTGAATAGGTCGTGATCA